AAAAAAACACCTTCAGAATAATGTCAGATGGTATTAAGAGGAGGAGGATGCTCATCTTTCATGACCCACTCACAAAGCCATCCTTCATCCCCACAGCTGGAGTTAATCTCACCTCCTTTGAACACCCCGAGCACTTCGCACTTCATCTGCAGCTGTTTACATGGTTGTCTCATTTCCTTAAAGATTGTAAGCTCTTTGAGGACAGGGTCCATGACTAGTTCATTTTTGTATCCCTCAGTGTCACACCTAATAGACACTCCCTAAATCTCCGATGAATGAACTGGAACATAATTCTTCCACTATGTCAGGAACCTGAGTCTACTTTAGGTCCGTAGTCTCAGAGATAAGCAAAATAACGGAAACAGGTTCAGAATAGAATCATGAAACAAAATGAGTGAGAGAAACAGAATCTATACTTAGGGGTGAGAAGAAGGTCAAAGAAATTCAGCCTAGAGAAGTGACTTTGGAAAGTGATATCAAGGGATCTTCAAATTTATTAAAGAAATAATATTAAAAGAAGGCCTGAAGTTTTTTTATTGGAGCAAAACAAAAAATTACTCAGATTTTAATGGGCACAATGAGTCAGCCTGCTGAAGACCTACCAGGATGTAGCTATTAGGGTGGTGTGATGAAGGCTGGAGGTAGATGCTGTGCCTTTCCCATCCCTATACAAAGTATGAAAGTATAAGAAGGACTCCAGTAAATTGTTTTTGCAAAATTACTTGTGAAACAATTGCAAGCCTTTACGTTTTAGGATTCCCACTCCCCGCAAGATGCTGAAACCTGTTTTAATAGAGAAGGGGGATTTACCCCAGGAAGGAATGGTAGAGGCTCAGCCTGGGATTTGAAAAGCAAAATGGGTCCAACACAGAGAGAGAGAGAGTCTTTGATGTCCTGCCGATCAAGGACCGGGGCTTAAGGACCAGACTCTTAAATCACGTGGCATTTACTGCCCTAGATTTAAAAAAAACAAAAAAACTTCTGCGGATCAGTGTCTGTGGTTCAAAATGGCCAGTTTCCAAAATCAGTCTTAACTCTCCAAGGGTAACATTTGGAAGGCTCCCTGCAAGAGCAGAGTGGAGCCAGTTTCTAGAAGGGGTGGCTTAATGATTTTCTACTCTCCCCACCCCAACATCATCAGTGTTCCTTTCCCAGAGCCCAAGTTCAAGCTGAGGGCAAAAGGAATTAAACGAAGAAGCTGAAACTGCAGCTAAGATCAGGGAGTTGCCAAAGGCCTAATTTTAGGTCCTCACTGCCCCAGCTGACGTCCTGCTCTGCTGGCTCAGCCGTGAGGACCACAAGCGTGGCCATAAGCCGGTGACTGAGTGAGAAGAACGTCTCCCTAGCCATCTGCAAAAGCAATTAGCTTGGTGGTGGTGTGTTTTGAGAGAGACTCCCGGTGATTTCTCCTTCAACAAGTGTTTCTTCAGGTGTTCAAGAGTCAATAAAGGAAAACATCGGTGCTGGGCAGAAGTTCCCACAGGCTCGCCACTCTCATAGTCACGCTTCTCCACTTCACAGTGCTCTCCAAAAGGGAACTAATCCTGGAATTCCTGGATTGTCAGGGCAAGTAAGCCTCTGATTTCCTCTGGCCATCAGCTCACTGCCACAACCTAGAGAAAGTGTTGCTTGGCACTTCTCAGGCTTTGCGACAATAGACATGGATGGATGGGAGCGATTCTCGCATCTGGGGGAGAATTTCTGTCCCTCTTCCACGGAGGTCCAGGCTGCCCTCCGCCCTTCACACGTTTTCTAGCCACAGGTTTCATGCTTAAGTTGTCTCCTTCAGAGGGCAGACAGTAAGAGCTGGCACCTCCCAGATCAAAGGGGAAACAGAGTATACTTTAAAGTCACAACTTTGTTATCCTGCAACCAGAATAATGAAATGATAGAAATATAAGCCCCTGAATTCTCACCAGAGAGCAAAATTTCTTGCATAATTATGGCAGGGAAACTCTCTTGACAAACCACTCCCAAAAGCATGTCTTATTTTTGCACAATTCTCATTGCTGGGGCTGCCCACCAGGGAAGGGGATACAGATTCTGTGCCCCCACAGGTTGGGAACTATGATAACCGGCTGGTGTTCTCTGTCTGCAAAGGAGGCTCTTAATAAAGGCTCACTGATGGGCAATGGAAAAGGGGGCTGGTACTGCGGGCCAAGGGAGTGCATCCTCAGTGGCTGTGCCCTTGGTTAGGCCACAGCTGTCAAGGTGCACAAACTGGCCCCAGCTGCTTCTTTATTTTCTTTCCACTTTTCCTGGTAGATTTGCTTTCCCTGTCTGCTCGTCTCAAGTCCCATCTGTCGGTCTGTCTCTAAACCTGTTTCTGCACCCCCTTCCACACTCGCGCGCACACAGACACACACACAGACACACACACAAACCCCCAGTGCCGGCCCCCTCCCCCTGTCTCTTGGCGCTGGCTCTTTCATCTTCTCCCTCCGGGATTTGAGATGTCGCTGCAGGAAGTGCTTGTCGGCCTCGGCAGCAGCAGCAGAAGCCCTGTGGCTTTGACAAACCTCATTTAATTGGGAGGAAGCCAGGAGAATTTGAAAGAACTGAAACATCCACGAAGCTCCTTTTATCAGGCATAATTTAAACTCTGCATGGAAAAACCCCTATATGTATAAAGAAAAGTCAACTTCCCTCCTGCTGTGAGCACTCTTCTTCCACCCCCCCCAGCACAGGCAGACTCCTGCAAGGTTCCATCTTTTCATTTTTCTAAAAGTGTCAGAGTAGATTTGGGCTCTGTGGCTGGGTGAACACTGAAGGAATACAGATTGGTCTCTCTTACACCCAAATGCATGAGCGTGGGCGCACACGCGCACACACACACACACACGCACGCACGCGAGCAGAGCCCCTCTGTTGGTGGCTTCGCTTCAGATGGCCAGGAAAAATCAAAACCCAGGTTTCTAACTACACATCAGTTTGCACAGTCATTGTTTCTTCCTAATTACCCTTCATCAGGCAGGAGCTGATGCCTGGAAAACTTTGAAGATCCCAGCAGTTCTCTGTATGTAGAATAATAGATCCTAGAGAAGGACCAATGGGAGAAGTTTCTTTAAGTGGAGAGGGGAGTGTGTGTGTGTGTGTGTGTACACCCAAGTGCGTATCCTTGCCTGAAGTGGTAGTTAGAAGTCCTAAGCCCCAGAGAAGAAAGCTAAGAAGGAGAGATCTAGGGGCTCAGGCTGGGAACAGAGGATGGAATGGGAGTGGGGGGGGGGGGCAAGGAA